AGAGTAAGTCGCACTGCAACAGCTTGGAGATTAGTGTTAAGAGTAACAGGGCTGTGAATAACATTCTGTCGTATAAGGATAGTAGAACCTCCAGTGGCTCTATCACCTGGAGGGGAAAAATAATGATACGGTTCAAACTGACGTAAGTTAAAATTATCTGTCTGTTTCAGATACGTCTCTTGCAGACAGAACGCTGATGGTGTTAAATCCTGGATTAATAGCTGTATTTCATTAAAATTTGTCCGGAGTCCTCTACAGTTCCACTGCACGATATTGGGAGATATACCTATTTTTTTAGGCGGATTAATTGGGGATCTACCCCGCACCGTTTTTGAGGGCGACAAGCTATGTGCCCTAGAATGGACGTTTTCGGACACGTCCATGTCCTCAAGTGATCCGTATTTGTTAAATAACTTGATTTTATCATCTGACCCCTTGGGGGCTCTGCCACTTTGTTTCTTTGAATCTGGCTTCAGTTTGCCTTTGTTTTTAACGATTGGTTGAACGTTTGGCGTTCATTGAGATCTTTGAGTTGATTGAGAAGTGTCATGGTCATAAGATGGTTCTGATTGGATTTTGGGCGTACCAGGAAGTGGTTCTGCAGTTTGTGTAGATATTGCAGGTGAGAATATCAGAGGAGAATCAGATTTAACCCAGGTCAAGTTTGTCTGACAGCATGCAGATGATTTTGTGATTCTATTTGTCGCTTCTGACGGTGTTGTGGTGATAGAAGCATAGCTCTCTTTAGGCTCGGAGCTTTGAACTAGTTTTTTGGCATCTGCAAAACTAATGTTTTGGGTGAATTTGATTTGATTTATCTCCATTTGACGTTTCCAAACAGGACAGCTTTTAGAGAAAGAGGAATGATCCCCTGCACAGTTTGTACATTTTTTTGACAGTACTGTCACAATCTTCTGTTGTATGTGTCTTCTCACCACAGTGAGCACATACAACAGACAATGTCTGAAGTATTTACGCCATGACCGAACTTTTGACATTTGAAGCACCTGAGAGGGTTCGGAATGTACGTGTCAACATTGATGTTACAATATCCTGCCTTTAGAGATTTTGGAGCATTTGGTGTAGAAAATGAAAACAGGTAAGTATTTGTTTTGATAACAGTATCGTTTTTCCTGGTTGTGAAACGCTTGACATAAAGTACGCCTTGATCCTTCATCTCGGTGACGATGTCGAGTTCTGACATGTCTGCAAACAATCGATCTCGATCCCTGATAATTCCTTTGCTCGTGTTGAGTGTTTTGTGAGCAGAGACTGTGACTGGAATGCCGACAAAAGAATCAATACTCATAAGGTTGGTGGCTTGGTGCCTTTTTGCACACTCAACCAGCAGAGCACCAGAACGTGTCGCTTAATGTTCTTAACGTCACCAGCAATGCCTTGTATACCTTTAGCTACGGCAAAGGATTCAACTTCAAAGGTGTCTTGTCAATAGTTTCAAGCACAAGAAAACGTGGCCAGTAATCAATTGAGTTGGGCAGTCTGAGGTCAGTTTCAACAGGATCAGTGTCAAGTTGACGCTTGGTCTTTTTGGGGGGGTTTAGGTAAGCCATGGTAAGTTAGTAAGATTTCATCATCCGAGCTCCCCACCCACCATGGAGTATCACAAGGACAATGCTAAAAACAAGTGGATTTCCAACTTGCAGCACCAAGGATACTCGGATGATATACTCCAGCAGAAGAATTAAAAGATTAAAAATTCCACCAGATTGGCCCATGAGCCACCGCCTTCTGGGCATAAGACTCTAGGCAAAGTTCATGACATTATAATTCAAAAATCACAAACGTTTTAGATAAGCAAGTAAGCCAAGACCGAAAGTAAAATAATTCCAAATAAAATTTGTGCAATGACATGTATAAATATAGTCTATAGAGGTCATTGGGAAGGGACATCATGGGAATTAGAGAGGGAGGTTATTGGAAAAGGACATCATGGAAAAGGGAGATTATTTGAATTAGAGAGGGAGGTCATTGGAAAGGGACATCTTGGGAAAGGGAGATCATGGAATTGGAGAGGGAGGTCATTGGGAAGGGACATCATGGGAATTAAAGAGGGAGGGTATTGGAAAAGGACATCATGGAAAAGGGAGATCATTTGAATTAGAGAGGGAGGGCATTGGGAAGGGACATCATGGGAATTATAGAGGGAGGTCATGGGAGGTCATTCGAAAGGGAGATCATGGGAAAGGGAGTTGAAGGGAAAAGGAGATCATGGTATGAGAGAGGGATGTCATTGAAAAGGGAGATCATGGGAAGGGACATCATGGGAAAAGGGAGATAATGGGAATTAGAGAAGGAGGTCATTGGAAAGGGAGATCGTGGTAAAGGGAGATCAAGGGAAATAACATCATTGGGAAAGGAGATCATAAGAAAGGGATGTCATTATTAATGGAGGTCATGAGAGAGGGATATCGTGGGAAAGGGAGATCGTGAGAAAGGGAGATCATCGGAAAGGGAGGTCATGGGGATGGGAGAGGTAGAGTATAGGAAATGAAGATCATGGGAATATGAGATCATGGTAAAGATGTGACAAAGCGACCAATGTGACAAAAAAGGATGAATGTGAGAGCTGGCTAAATGTGAGAAATGAAGAAAGTAGCGAAATGGAGAACATAGCATATGAGAAAATGTCGGAAATTGGAGAACGAAGGAAAAGGGAAGGACATTGACCAGTGATGACTGTGGTAGAGGGACGAGCAAGGAAAGGACGAGCAAGTGGTAGAGTGGAAGGACATTGACCAGTGATAACTGTGGTAGAGGGACGAACATGGAAAGTGGAAGGACATTGACCAGTGATAACTGTGGTAGAGGGACGAACATGGAAAGTGGAATAAAACATGGTGTACGTTGCTAATGTGTGATACATTACACCCAACGTGTTGTACAACACACATCAGTCACAGACAACAAGTCCTCCAACTCCGTGAAACAAGAAAGCACTTTCATCTGTACCAAGTATGCAGTGTTGACAAAGACATATTTATGGATCTGTGTTGTAGGTTTGTTGTTTAACCGCGAAATGGAGATCATGGGAATATGAGATCATGGTAAAGATGTGAGAAAGCGACCAATGTGAAAAAAAAGGATGAATGTGAGAGCTGGCTAAATGTGAGAAATGAAGAAAGTAGCGAAATGGAGAACATAGCATATGAGAAAATGTCGGAAATTGGAGAACGAAAGAATAGGGAAGGACATTGACCAGTGATGACTGTGGTAGAGGGACGAGCAATAGTCGATCTGTTTGACGGCTGTCTGAAAACGAGTCTGGACCAGATTACGTTATCCATGACTTGTATCACCCGGTCCAATGTGTCGTCTCTTAGGACAAGCAGGGATTGCTGAAACCCAGTCTTAATCCGGAAAGTCGCGTGTTGATCATAAATTAACAAACGAAACGTGACTTTGAGTGCAAATATTATCACCTGAATGTCGAATACTTGTAAACAAGTAACGCTTGATTTGAGCAGAAATCATTGTGAATTCCAATTGTGAAAACCACTCCTTCTTTCTAATCAAACTCAGGAGATAAGTGAAAATACATCATCCTTCTCATAAGCATTAGAACAGTCGACCTTAAGGAATGTTGAGATAAAATCAGTTGGTTACGCTGCTGTTTGTAGAGTTACAATATGTATCAATGACAAAATACAATATTTTACGGTTGGATAGCCTTGTGGTTAAAGCGTTCGCTCGTCACGCCGAAGATACGGGTTCGATTTCCCACATCGGTACAATGTGTAAAGCCCATTGCTGGTGTCATCCGCCGTGATATTGATGGAATATTGGTAAAAAGGCGTAAAACCATGCTCACTCACTCACTAATTTTCCTACACAACAAACAACCAGCCTCGATTATCCAACCAGACACAAACCCTGGGAGGCACAGAGAGGGGAGAACCAGCCTCGATTCTCCAACCAGACAGAACTCCTGGGAGAGCCAGCGAGAGGGGAGAACCAGCCTCGATTCTCCAACCAGACAGAACTCCTGGGAGGCACAGAGAGGGGAGAACCAGCCTCGATTCTCCAACCAGACAGAGCTGAGCTGAGCTGAGTATGGTTTTACGCCGCTTTTAGCAATATTCCAGCAATATCACGGCGGGGGACACCAGAAATGGGCTTCACAAGTTGTACCCATGTGGGGAATCGAACCCGGGCCTTCGGCGTGACGAGCGAACGCTTTAACCACTATTCTACCCCACCGCCCCCAACCAGACAGAACTCCTGGGAGGTACAGAGAGGGGAGAACCAGCCTTGATTCTCCAACCAAACAGAACTCCTGTGAGGTACAGAAAGGGGAGAACCAGCTCGAACCAGACAGAACTCCAGGGCGGCACAGAGAGGGGAGAACCAGCCTCGACTCTCCAACCAGACAGAACCCCTGGGAGGTACAGAGAGGGGAGAACCAGCGACGACAGGCAGATAATGTATTCAGCCTTCCAATGTTTCCCCGTCATCGCGTCAAGAATGAAGGCTAAATTGGAAAACAAAATACTTTATATTTACGCTGTATAAACTTTTGATTCGACTGACGAGTTTTCCAGCTACGGAACAACCGAATCACTGTCACAGTGTTAGGGATAGCCGACACTACGTCAAGACGGACTTTCTCTAGACTCACAGAATGCAAGCAAAACAGTTGGAATTAATTCACACAAACTCTGGAAAGACGTTTTATAAATATTTGTATTAAACTCCTCCACCACCTACCTCCTCGTAACTCCTGCTTCTCCGTCTAATACAACTGCTACTACTACTACCGTTGCTATTGCCACAACTGCTGCTTCTATTACTGCTCCTACTGCTACAGCTACTACTGCTGCTACTGCCATTACTATTGCTGTGATTACCACTACTGCTACTGCGGCTACTACTAATACTGCTGTTGCTTCTGAAACTGTTATATTGAATGACCTTCAAACGTCCGTATAAGCGAATGCGTGATTAGTGGCGCTCTGCAACAAACGTAACTACGAGTACTTTACCTCAAATGAGCTTGTATACTTCAGTGGATAGAGAAGGGGAACGTACAACAATGTAGACACAACAATGGCTACAGTTAAGCCGAACGTGTACAGGTAGTACTGCGTCCCTTCTCGGTACATCTCGGCTGGAGTTCCCAGAATCAAGATGGCGGACATGAAGGACACTAGGATGGAAATGGCGAGGGGCACAGTCTTCATTTGTCTTCCACCCATGAGAAATTCCCCCGTTGTGTTTTGCTTGTTTCCGGAAAATGCATGGAAAATTCCAATTCCTGCGGGCACGAGCAGCACCAGACCAAATACTACGTAATCACCAGCACCAAACACCATGTTCTAATGGGGTTATGTGAACATTAATTAAATTCTATGCAATACAGTGCGCGATAATAAAAATAATAACATTATGCCTCGATGTCGGACAATTTCCATATTTATTAGACTATGTCTAAAAGGATTGAGTGACATGCATGAATCAGGCAAATACTTTAAAAACTGATAGTGAATATTATCGGCACCTGTTGCTGTATCATAAGCTTGCTCACGTAACGAAAATAATTCGTTGTAGTCTTCATCATTGTCCGAGTTTAAATTTATTCTTTTCTTCTCCTGTTGTTTCTGATATTTTTTTAAACTCGGCGTAGTTGACTTAAAGTCACATTTTTTTATTTAGCGGTATGTGGTGTAACAGTATTGACATATTATGACTAGTTATTTATAGCTTACAAGCATGGACTATTTTCTGTAGCCGCATTACATGCAACGGCGTATGAATATGTTTGCTTCCTATACCATTAGATAATAGTCCATTGTTTCACCGTTTTAAATCGCAGTATTCCTGTGTATTTTAGATATATGGCTAACATTGCGTGCAATCGGTATGTTCAGTGTTCGGAAACCAGTTATAAAAATATGTATGAATCTAGTTGTTTAACTGTCCTTCGATGACAGGTTTTTATAACGTATTCTTGGGTCTATTCTTTATTTATGAATTTCTGTCGTCACGGTATGACTGAAATAATGCCGATGTGACGTAAATTGTTAACTCGCCCTCTCCATAAAGATAGACACTGGTATGACCTCAAACACAACAGCAATAATAATTAGCCACAAAAACGACAATCAACAGAAATAAAGTCCATCTAAGTAAAGCTGATGTTTGGTCTATTCTTGCTTTTGTTGGTATAAAGATAGCACGTGTGAACAGTACGAGTCAACATGAAAGGACTTGCTACTGCAACAGGACAACAGTCCTAAAGTTCAGATAGAGGAGGAAGAAGGCCTCCTATTATATATGGGATGCCCTGAACGAGGGACCTGGGAAGGTTGTTAGATGATAACGATATGGAGTGATATTACCGTTTTTGAACACATACAGTCCTTGATGAAGGTGTGACATCATGACAGCTCTGACACTGAAGCCACTTTTGAAACAACAAGTACCGGACAGCGAATTAGAAAAGCCTGGTCAAGTAGCGCCATCTCGAAGTCCAACACTGCATTAGGCTGATTTCCCTGTCTGTCAATATGAAGCACCGGCCAATCAGTATCAATTTCTCTGGCGCCAAAATAGTTCCTGGCACTTAGCCCTACATCCATGGAGTCACTAGTAATGAAGACACGACGTACGTTTTGGAATTTAGATAGAAACGTCCACAAATGTTTGAGAGTGAATAGGGAATTGATCTAAAATGCATCGTTTGGAATGGATGGATTTCTCCTCATTCGCACATGAGCACAAACTAACTCTTCCGTTCTTGGTATTTTATTCATAAACATATCGATTCGTTCCTCGAAATGAAGTGACGGCTTCATGGAAAGATGCCAAATCTTGTGAAACACTTCCCCAGTGTTGGGGTTTCTGAACGGTTCTGGAACAAGGTGACCATATTGTGGACTCTTTTGAATCAGTGTGATAATATCCGCATTTGTTCTTAAGAATATGACATCGCTTGGGTGCTTGGCGTTAAAGTCAACATTAACTCCAGGACGATCACTATTCCACCGAATAACGTCCTTAACGAAGCACTGAATTTCCCTTTCTCGGATATACCAGTTGACGATATTCGGGATGTAGAAGAGCTTTATATCAGATGGGTAGGTCATGTTGATGCCAAACCGTCGTCCTGTTACATTTGCTAGAAGATATGCGCCCGCTATGCCTCGTTGCCTGTCTGCCCATCCTCCACATCGAATTTGTCCGTCGTCACAAAGGTAGATGATGTAACGATTCCTGGATTGTTTGGGTTGGTGATTGTATCTGACCTTAGCAGTCTTCTCGGTCTCTTCAACTCTGAAATGTTTTAAAAGAAAATAGTGAATGTTATGGGTCAGCGTTTCTTCCTTCATATTGAAGACATTTTGTAACTTGTCGAAATTGACGCCTATGAATAAATGATTGCATGATTGAGTGTTAAAATCTACTATGAACAGTCTTTCTGTTTGTTCAGTTTGGGAGGACAGTTCCAAATTATGCACATGTTTGATATTTCATGAAGATTGATGTGGTCTTTGGAAACCAGAAGTTAGAGACAGAATCTCGCATTGATACCAGAGATCACTGGACTCTCTGCTTTCAAATATGCAGTCCATATCGATGGAAGAATATCATCAGACCTATGCACCATGTGCTGACCCCTAAATATGTCATGATTATTGTATAGCCATACAAAATGTGTTCATTAATATCAATTAGAATATGCGTTACCTTTGGTAAGAATTAAGACCTCGGAGTAGCATCGATGCAAGGAAGATGCAGGCGATGACAAGGACACACAGAACAACGAACCAATTGATATTGCCAAACATGCTTCTCTGAAACACAGGACTCAGAACATGTGATGAGCATCTCCTGCGTATATTCCTCTGTGTATACACTCATAGCAGGAATAACAGAGTGCAATTTTACATCCAGAAATAAATGTTATTGCCATTTGGTTTTATGGATACAGATACGTGTGTATTAACTAAATGGCCTTGAGTATATTGATCGGGATAGTAACTATATTGATTAGACAGACAAATGCCTCCACAGTTGTTGTATGTCCTGGGTTATACATACAATATTCACATAGTTCACATATTCGCCCACGTGGGGCGTGGTGGGCGAGCTGGCTAAGACGCCAGGCTAGTGATCCTGCGAACATGAGGTGCCGGTGCCGGGTGTAAAAAAACTTGGAGTCAACTTTGTGTGCAGACTGTTTCAGTGTTGTCACAACCCCTAGTGTACAGTACACAATCATGTGCACTTAAAAGAACCCTCGAATCCGTTGGTATATGATCAGATGTTGGCCAAATGAATACCTGCAAACACCTGGTTGCGGTTGCAGCAACGTGCAGTAAACTTGGACGAAGTACTGTGACTATGTGTCCCAGTCCACCCAGCTGTGAATGGTTACCTCGTAAGGATGGGGAAGCCGCAATAACTCAGTGCGCCTTGTGACAGCAAGAGCTGTAAGGTCCCCAGGGAGCTAAGAATGATAATAAGATGTGCCGTTGAGGCTGACATCCAATGATTGAGGGGAAAAATACCAGTTCCTTGATCATGCACTAGTGAGTGGATATGTACGCTACATAAATATCCAATAATAATAATAATAATAATAGTTGGAAAATGAGCAGGATAGATTGCGACTAATGTTCATGGTGACGTATGTAAGGTAAATTGAAAAAGGTACAATTGAATTCAAATGATTTAGGTTTGGCCGTTTGTCCCCTTTTACCTACAGGTATATTGGGCTTTGAATTCCAGTTATGTATTGTACTGTATGGCCTAGAGTCTTATGCCAGAAGGAGGTGGCTCATGGGCCAATCAGGTGATGCTGACCATATGACTATCTATTTGACATGTTGGTACTAAATTTAGATGATGTTTTATGAGGAATTCAGATATCCCACACCGTATCTGTCTCAGGCCTTTGGTATTTATGATTTGATGAAAGGGTGAAATAGATTCCTTTCTGAGCTTCTCTACATTTCCAATTTGTTATGGACCAGTATACAAAGACAACATTTGTGATACTGCTTGGGTACGTGCTAGCTCATATTCATGCATTTGAACAAATGGTTCACACAACCCCTCAAATCAGCTTTTTGGCATAGTTAGTCTTACAACATAAACATATGCAGACATTGAATATGACATTTGAGGAGAGCCTTTTTTCTTATGGATTTTACTGATTGCTTGAACTAAACTCAGCTTGTGCGTTTTTTATCGTAGTTTGGAATTATAACGTTACCAGAGAGTCGAGTCCGAGTGTTAGCAAATTCAAAAAGATCAAGGCAGACCACAACTGAGGTAAGGGGAGTGACGCCACGGGTTCTGGATATGCGATGAATCCAAGGTTGTATCCTGGACAAATGAAACCACATATTCATCCAAATAGAGAACGTTGATATTCATACATTAATCCTCTGTGGCGTGACCCCTAGTATTAGGTACTGATGTACTTACCATAGCCAGGTACGTGACGGCTGAGTTAATTATCTTTGGTGTGTGGTTGTCCAAACAAGGCTGATTTGTAAAACTGGTTAAAAAATTTTGAGACTGAAATAATTGAAACTGGTAAATCAGTACTGATGTTTACGCATGAAACAACTTTCACTCTCTACAGTGAAATCTTCAGCAAAATAATCAAACTTACCAAACGAAGAGACTTACGGGCAGAACGTAAGTAGTTGTAAATGATCGTACAGTTTATCAGGAAAAAAACAGGGAGGGGGAGCGTTTTAAATTTCAATATATTTGAAGTGTACCTGGTATATACAAGGTTGATGTTGCTACAGAGGTATTGATCAGTATATATTTAGGAAAAGGGCATACTTAAGATCAAGGAAATACCTGAGTATTGGAACAAATCTACAGTCACACCACGCAGGTGAGCAACGTGACCCATGATAGCAAAGAAGGCAAACCCGATGTATATCGATGTCAGTGCAACAGCGGTAGCTTGGATCAAAGCGTCCCTACAAGAAAAAACGTTACATTACAACATTTTACCCCTTTGATCCAATCAAATTTTATACAGTGGATGAAGCATGCTCACGCTCATTACCTTGTTGTTTTGGGGGATGCTGAAGGAAGTTTCTACTATAAAGTACCATTAATATTTAAACCGAAGGGAGTGACTCATGTGCCAATACACCCATCCGGATTGTGAATCAAAACTGGCGCATGCGTCAACTTGTACCAATCAGGAGGCCAGACGCGATTTATGGATTTGTCAGACGTACTTCTAGGGTCAAACTATGCCTCCGAAGCGATGTGCTTCGAATTATGTCATTCACACTGGCAATGTGTATTACGTGTTTCTGCGAGTTGATGTGTACCTTTAACAGAACCATTACGACGAGGACAAAAG